TAAATGTTATCTCCATATTGCATTTACAATTTATGTATGAATTAAAAACCAGAATTTAGCGACAAGTTTCTATATTGATGCACTTTGAACAGCAGTCGTCGTTTAGCCTTGAATATTTGGCAAATGAAGTAAAATCGATATGCGGCTATGCCAAAGTCGGGTTCAACTAACGCACAAGAGATATTTTAGAGACTTGCCAAAATTAAGTAATTTAAGCACGCCCCGTCCATAAATCGTAATCCTATATACACATACACATATCATGTATAACACAATAATTATCAGCTTGGCCAAGTTGCATTTGCATGCTGCTTAAAAAGAGCTTTAGAAAAAAAGATAAGAGAGCAAAATTCGAACCATACATATGTATAACTGGTTTTTGGAGCTCTACGAAATTCGAAAATAAATTATAAAGAAAACCAGTTTACAGTACATTTCCATGAAAGTGCGATTCCATCAACTGAAATCGAAATGATCATTCAGCTGGGCCTTTTGTGAGCAGAAATGAAATAATTTATTACGTCGTGACGGAGGCTGGAGGAGGCAGGGCGAAATGTTTCAATTGCTCTAATCATTTCCTGAACGTCATTTCAAGTTCAAGGCAACTAATTCGGTTGGCCTTTTATTAATTTCCTATTAAGCAGCAAACGATGAACTACGAACAATGATATACGAATAACGATCTACGATTCTCAACGATAAGCGATATACGATATTCGATGACCTATATGAATTTACGATCTTCGATATACTATCCTATACATCCTATAAAATGCACGATCTACGTTCTTCGATATGCCTTTATGAAATTTACGATATACAATGGCCAATATATCATAGCTGAAAAAATGGACTATGTACCATATACAAATATAGATTAAAGATGTAGGATCTTCAATCTATGATGTATAATTTATTATAACCGACCTATGATAGACTATATACATATAATAAATAATAATCAGTATCCTATACTATATATGCTATATACAATCTACAATCGTTAGGTTCTTCTTCAATCTTGATCTATGTTCTACGATCTTCGCTCGATGTTATATGGTCTGTCGTCAAAGCCGTCCATTCGCACGCCAACGCAGTCGAGCACAAAAGACCTTGTCTGAGCGAATCATTATGGAAAAAAAATCGAACAAAAAAAGTGTCAAGCCAGTTTGTCGTGGTACTGAGCCCAGCCTCAAGTCACAGATTTACATATGTATATATATAGATATACCAGATGTATAAGTTATATATGCATATGTATGTTGTTTATATGTTAAAGTTCAGCCGTTTGTCTAGCTACATTAAAGATAATTTGTCTTCTGTTGCCATTGGTTGTTTAATTTGTCAAAAAAAAAAGAAAAACCGGTTGCCTGATTTGTTTAAATAAAATCTCATCGTTTATTTGCCGTTTGCCAAGCACCGAAAGCCTCAATTATTGGATGTTTTGTAATGTTTTGGCAAAAAAAAATAATGCTAAATATAAAAAATTATGAGTTCGTTGAGGCTTGAAGCAAAATAAATCTATGAACTATGGAAGACTAACAAAGCATTGTTTAATAACACGCAATGCTTAAATGCGAGAAACTGGGAAAAATATTAAACAATTGATTAATTATACATATATGTATATGTATATAATTGCTTTATTAAAAAAATGCCAATGCTTGGCAAAGAAATAATAGTAAATATTAATATTATGAAGTTGACTTCGGAAATTTATTATTTAAGTATTGGAACTTTTATTGTTGTCCTGCTAAATGTTTATTTTTATTTGTTATTTTTAGCGCAACTTTATTTATTTTAACAATAATTTTAAAAATATTTAAGGCACTACGCTTTAATCTTACTATATTTTATAATAGTCTCTTTTATTTTTGTGGCACTGCACTATAAAAATCTGTACCTACCGTTTAGATAGAAAGAAAAAACCACACGGCACTAAAGAAAAACTCCAAATGAACTGAAAATTCTACCACAGCTGCCTATTTATACCAAAATAAATAAATATTCATATTAAAGCCGGTCCGTGCTGAAACTATAGGAGACAATAGCTTTATAGACCGGTCAGCGCAGAGCTTTTCAACCAGTAAAGCTGAGCTTAAACAAAGCTTCGCTATTTATATTTAAACGCTGCTTCAGGAATACCAGAGTCGACTCTATAATGCCGCTAAATGCTGACTAATGCCTCACTCTAAATAAACAAACAAATGCCAGGCAATTGCCAATTAACAGCATTCTATTATCAAAGCTATTTGCTGCAAATTCGCCAATGAATGTCAAATATATTTTGATTGAAATGTTAAAGAGAAAATTTATGGGCTTAATGAAATTTGATCAAGTTGAACCAAATTTATGAAATATATAATTATTTATTTTGATTTTATATTTTATTTCAAATCTAAAACCGTTTAGCAAAATGTATTATATATATGTAAACATTTAAATATATTCTAGACCTGCAAGTCTCAAATCATAGATGTCTATAAATTTGCTTTCAATTTTAACGGCGTTTTACTAATCTGCTTCCACGACTTGGCAGCGTTGCCACATAGTTTCATTTAGCTGTCAGTTTTTAAACATTCGTTGAGCAAAAGCTAGAAAAAGTCAGCCCTTGTCAAATAAAATAAAAGGACAATCCAAACTAGGACAACCAATTTATGTTATTTAAAAATAAAAATATTATTTGCTTTTTAACATATATTTTAAAAAAAATTAATTAAACTATGGGAGCTGAGCAATCGGCTTTGTTAGCTTGCACCCAAACGGGCAAACCGGAAAATCCGCTGAAATTGGAAAATTCTGAGCAATTCTTCCAATTGTATTTCGATAGAATGCCCGAGCCTAAAACAGGACCCGTTACAGAGGCCTTGCTGCATTTAATAACGAATGCACCGCACCCAAATCTAGGTAGGTTCTAGCTGACGTCTGAATTCGATCCAGTCAAGTAAAAGTTGTGCCACTTCGATTTGTAGGGTTCAGGGAGCGCGCCAACTGGGCGAATCAGCAGGAACAGGATTCGGGCTTTGAGAACGATGAGCTGGAAATGGAAGAGTCTAGTGAAGCGTACGAGGAGGAGCCGGACATCGATATGATCTCTGAGGAAGAGGAGCGAACAGTTGATCAATTATCGGAGAGTGGAATGAGCATGGCATCGAGCTCAACTTGTTATGATGAGCACAATAATTATGAGAACGACATTGAGATAATTCCATTGGAATTCGTCGATCGGCAGCCCTTCAAGAGTATTGATATAGATGTTCCGCAGCCGCAGATCGAGAATGAGTTCATAATAAGCTTTTCCGTCTTCAATGATGAATTATTATAATCTAATTTTTACATAAATTAAACCATTATGTACATGTTTCTACTTAAAGTTAACCCTCTTCAATCTTAGGGATTTGATGTTTCTCACAATGCCTCGGCGTTCGTCTCGATGCTTTTTCAGCTCCGCCTCACGTTTTTTGGCCATGTATTGGGCCTTCTTTTCTTTGTTCACCTCGAAGGTCATCTGACGATTGCCCAGGGAACGTCCCACATTCGTTACATTGCCCTCCAGGCTGGACATGACGCGAACGCGATCCTGCAGGCTGGCCTGTTTGATGCGCTGCTCTGCCACGCTGTTGCCCCGATCTGAGTCCAAAGGCGTTAATTTGAAGTTTGCGCTCTTCTTGGGTGCTGGATCTTTAATATTTCCATTTCCGTTCGCTATTGGCGCTGCATAATCATCTGGACCATCAGCCTCTTCATCGTCCTCCTGCTCTGCTTCCTCCTCTTCTTCGCGCTGTCGCTTGACCTGCTTGTATGCCTGCTTCATTTCCTTGACATACTCGCGCCTATCCTCATCGTCCGAAGAGGCGTCATCACCGCTGCTCTCCTCGTTGTCCCCATCGCTCTTCTCGAAACCAAACAGATCCTCATCATTGTCACTATCCTCTCGGGGTTGTGCTTCCTCCGCGTGCAACTCGGCAACGGGCGCCACTTCAATACGCTGCTTGATCGCCTTCGCCTTCGATTTGTCCAGGCGATTGAGCACTGGCGCGAGCAGTCGATATTCCTTGGCCTCCTTGTTAATCGCAAAGTCGGTGTTTTCGAACATGGCCTTGAAACGCGAGTCCTGCAACAAGCTGGGCATATTGCGTTGCTTGGCGCTGTTCGAGGGATTCGCCTGCTCGTCCATAATCTTAAGCGCCAGCTCCTTGTTAACCTTGGGCAGCTTGGACTCAATTTGCAGACGCGACTTGCGCTCACTCTCGATCTCCTGTCGCACTTTCTCCTTGCGGAAGCGGTCGAAGGCAAATGGCTCAACAACAGCCTTGGCTTTGTTATACAAGCGCACGTCCATAAAGTAACTAAGGATGGAAGAGGATTTTAAATACAGAAAACCAAGAGAAGACTGAGTAGACATACCCATGCATATAACCTTTGAGCAGATTGCTGCCTATGAGATGCTCTAAGCCCAGTTCTTCCAGTTCCTTTTGTGTTACGAACTGATAATCGTCGTAGACATTCTCCACCACCTCCGATTCAATCTCCTCAGTTAGATTGTCCAAGAAACTGCACCAACGCGGCGCTGGACCCATAGCAGGCACATAGTATGTCATCATTTTGACATCTTCCTGTGCCAAGAAGAACATGCCCGTGTCGGGAATGGTGCAAAAGTCATTGAATGATGATGTGGACTCCACATAGGCAATCTGTTTGCCGGTCTGCTCATCCCACAGCTTCAGAGTCGCTTCATCTAAACTATAGACGGCATTCTGTGAGGGATTAAATGCCAGCCGTTTAATGGGCACCTTATTGAGATGATCCTTGATTAGTAGTGGCTGGCGCGAGCGTATATCATACAGCAGCACATGTCCCGAAGCCGTGCCCACGCCCATTTGCAATCCATTGCGAAATTTGAGCGCTGTGACCGAGGGAAACACTTTAACGCCCGGCAGTTTCATGGCCACATCCAAAGTGGCGCAACGCTGTTTGGTGCGCGGATCCCACGCCTCGACGGTTCCCTCTTTGCTGCCCACAGTCAGAAGATGATGCTCGGGGTTTACTTCGCAAGCATTAAGACAGCTGGCATCCGATTCATACGGTTGCAGGAACTGGCCACGCTCCAGATTAAGACGATATATGTCCTATGGAAAGAGAAATGTTTATATGGGTATATCATATAAGATTGTCATAGTCTTCTAGTACATACCCGACCCACGCCCACAATGAACATATCGCAGCTGGGTTTATGGTACTTCATATCACGCCCAAAGCGCGGTATGCGCAGTCTGTAGTGGCGTCCGTGTGCCGCGTGGATTTCTACATAGCGATCGCATTGCAGAAACACCAGCTTGCTGTAGTCATCGCTGATGACCTCGAACGTCGTCACCTCCGAGTCGAAGCAGCGCTCGAATTTAATAGACAAATTGCTAACTTCAAAGCATTTGACACGTGGCTTATATGTGCCCGTCGCCAGTATGAACTGTTGATCGGGGCTCATGCGTATGCTTGTGCAGACGCCGGGCATATCAAAGTCTTGGATTAGCTCAATCTGCCGCCTCGAGTCAACCTTCTTCATCAGCTGTGAGCGCTTGCGGCGATCGGTGAGCCACTTTAGAAAAAACCAACTTTAATTGAATACTGCATAAGTGAAAATTATTAGTACTTACATCTGGCACCGATTTGCCGGCGCTCAGGTTGTAGATTTTCACATCGTTCACTTCGTTGACAAACATTACTGCATTTTAAAATATAAAATCGCGCATAAACAAAAAGGGAACACGTGCGGTATGATAGTGCTGTGCAGCCAACTAACTACGTTACTTTACAGCACTGCGCAGCAAGTGCTGAACAGCTGATAATTTGATTACCATGTATATGTACACCATTGAATAGTCTGGCAACACCATAAACTCGTTGCTAAATTTGCAAACAAGAAAACGCAAAAGATATTTGCTGCTAGTTGCCCAGCAAAGTTTTCATCGTTGAAGATTAAAGTTATATCGTTTAGTGTTATATATATATTCCTGCATATTAATGCTAATTGTGCTGCGCTCGAACATAACACAAAACACGACTGGCATCGCCTGTGTGTGATTAGAAGTATAAACAAATACAGGAGCGATACGCATACACACAGAAGCATTAAAAGCCCTCCCCCGTGCTCGTTGTTGCAGTCCTACATTCCTGCTCCCTAGTTGAAGCCAAATTACAGAACAAATAAAATTAAAGAAAAACGGTGAGTAATATGTAGATTGTTGTTGCTGTTAAGCCAATTAAAATCAAGCTGCATTTTTGATTGCGTCTTTAGCTAATAATCTGAATGTACGTAACTGTGGGTGTCGATGTGTGTGCATGTGTGGCTGTGTAAATGTATTTGTGTCAGGGGTATGGTTTGGGGCCGTCTGGGAGTACCGTAATGACAACTTTCCCTTATACTACATAAAGTACTCGCTATGTTGCTGTTATTGTTGTTATTACTGTTGTTGTTAGGGCAGCCCAGTCTCTGCATCTCCCCATCTCGCTCTCTTGCCATCCTGCTCTCGTAATTGATATTAGTCTCTCTGCTGTGGTCTACACCCCTCAAAAAGTTGTTGCTGCCGTTGTTGTTGTCGTTGTTGTGGCAGTCTACGTTACCGCGCCTTGTGTTTTTATCAAATAACGGTGCTTCAGCATGCAACAGGGAATATTTTCACACACATGAGCACATTTTCGCATATTTTATAATAATTATTTGCTACATTTGAAAACTTCTTATCAGCGTCTCAAGTATATATTAAGAACTTAATTCTGATTCTTCTTATTAGAGTTCTATTTTTTCTTGTGATTCAACATATGTACGCCGTTTTTATTTATCTTTGAAACCGCATTCATTCATAGCTGTGCGATTGACTGATAAGACGAGGGTCTATAATGTATATTATGTATACACTTGACAATAAATTAATAAATTTTTATTGCTTGTTTAATAGACAAGCATCAGCTAATATTAAATGAAGATCATTAGGAAAAGATTTAAATATATAAGTTCTTTAGATAATATTCAATAATAGTTAAGAATGAAGTTTTCTTAAGAAAATTCTCTCTGCATTCAGCATTTTATTATATTGCCACTATAATTGCCCAACAATAGTTTCGTTTATCTTTAAACAAATGTGCTAATAGCTTCGCATTCTTGTTTGTTGAATAGGTAAATAGAAGCTAGACTAACACTAGATTCTATTACGAGAACTAAGTAGACCTTGCGTTGAGCAAAATTATTGCTTGATTTTGGAGATTACTCAATATTATTTACGTTCCTATAAAAACACATTTCAAATTCTGATAGCTCGGCATTCTTACCAAAAACCTTTGCTCATTCCGACTCGAAATATGATATGCGCACTTGGAGCGTTATTTTGCGACTATCTGACAAACTTTAAAGTAGAGTCGCGGCACCCCAACTCTTCAAACAATAAAACAGCGCTCGGTTTTTAGCTCAGTCAACAGACAAACTGAATGGACAGACGGCTGTTTAAATATGAGGCACTAGACCCACAATTGGGAACAGCCCCCGACCACGCTGGCAACATGCCACAAACAAAATAAAACAACAACAGAAAAAGTCGTCCAGAAGCGACACTGAAACGAATTAATGCAGCGTTACAATTGCCTGATAGGCAGCCAGGTCGCCAGACACTTAAGTTCTCCATATAGGCATATATATATCAAATAATAAACACATAAAACTCATAAAGTCTCAACTGTCATTGGCTGAAATGGATGTAAAGCTGCACAAGATGCGTGGGGTTGTTAACAAACTCTACGAACGCATAGATTACCTAATAGAAAATTGTGCGAATGGAAAATTTACATATATCAAATCAATATTTGCTAATAAATATGCCTAATACCGTTTTACAGGTCCCAATATGACTGCAGCACCTTACAACTACAACTATATATTTAAGTACATCATCATTGGTGACATGGGCGTGGGCAAGTCCTGTCTGCTGCATCAGTTCACCGAGAAAAAATGTCAGTAACTAGAAAATCCTCTATACGAAACTTCAACTAAACTCTTTTTCCCATCCGCAGTTATGGCGAATTGCCCGCATACGATTGGCGTTGAGTTTGGCACACGGATCATTGAGGTGGATGACAAGAAGATTAAATTACAAATATGGGATACGGCTGGTCAGGAACGTTTTCGTGCTGTGACACGTTCGTATTATCGTGGTGCAGCTGGTGCTTTAATGGTTTACGACATAACCAGGCGGTGAGTCACATTAGTGAAATTGAAATATTCCTACTAATTAAGTCCCATCTGTGTAGCTCTACATATAATCACTTGAGTAGCTGGCTAACCGATACGCGTAATCTCACAAATCCCAGCACGGTGATCTTTCTAATTGGCAATAAATCTGATTTGGAGAGCACACGCGAGGTAACCTATGAGGAGGCTAAAGAGTTTGCTGACGAGAATGGTCTCATGTTTTTGGAAGCCAGCGCCATGACGTAAATTCTGAACTTGATTTATACATAGATTTATATGATACTAAAGTAAATTTGTAATTTGAAAACAGTGGCCAAAATGTGGAGGAGGCATTTTTGGAGACGGCACGTAAGATCTATCAGAATATCCAGGAGGGTCGCCTGGATTTAAATGCATCCGAATCGGGTGTACAACATCGACCATCGCAGCCGTCGCGACCATCGCTCAGCAGCGAGGCAACGCATGCCAAGGATCAGTGCTCGTGTTAAATGTATTAAATTTCTCTAGACACACACACACATACACATATATACATATATATAGTTATAAAAATCGAAATTTAATTTTTAGCGCAACTCGTAATCATATTGATTTCTAATCTATCTAAAACAACATGCAATGAGTAGAACACAAATCAAAACTAAACAAAAGAATACAATGTATGTATGTAGTTAAATGATTGGTTTAAGTCGTGAAAAAGTGTGAACAAACAACCAAAATATATATAAACGTCCCCGACATTCAGATATCTGTGTAATATCTAATAAGCTACTGATAGAAAAATGAATAATCTACATTCAACTGTTGCATTATGTTCTAATTGCAAAAAAAAAACAGAAAAATAAGCAAACATGAAATCTATGAAACTGTTTTGATATTTACAAATGAAAGTGCAAATGTGAAAGTATACAAATGTTGGCAAATATCTCTTATTTCTATATATTTACTTTATGCATTAATCATTTTACACATTTTCTTTGTTCTCTATAACACAATTTGTTAGCAATACTATGTATATATTATAATATTGTATTTGTAACTTCTTTTATGCTCATTTCGTTGAATGTTGTGTAAGCGTGCAAAAATTCGAAAGCGAGCAATGTTATATGAATATTAAAGACGTATTAAACGCATAATGCTATAGATAATAAAGAAAAACAATATTTATAAATCCCTAGAAACGAAAAACAAGTTTTCCTAATCATTGCACTAACGAGTGCGCGGTGCCTTCACCTCTGTTAGCTGCGCGCCCAGCCAGGTGGCAACGCCGTCAATAATCTAAGCACGTAAATAGTTTAGCATTTGCCGCAGCAATGGAGAAAATAAGGGGGTATTTTTAGGGCAGTACTGGCAAAAAATTGTTTTACTATTCTTTAATTAGTTATTAATTGATTGATGTATATTGAGGAAAATCTATTTATATTGTAAATAGAATAGAAATGTTTATTAAATCTCACCAAGTGAACGAATGCGTGCAAAAGCAAAAGTGGCAGCGGCGTCCATGACAACAAATGCTTTATTTCAAAAGGTGGCAGAATATTCTTTTAATTAAATATAATAGAATTGTAATACAATTTATTTATCGAATTCAAAATCAAATCGATTACGCGCCTATACACAGGTGGCAGCGCTGTTATCGATATCAACTCTTTTATGCAAATTAATTTGTTTTAATTAAGGCAGCGTTGGTAAACCAAGAGTTGCGTTGACGACATGGCATAAATTCCGGTTTCTGTGACCTCGCTACTACGATGATATCTGCATTGATCGCCAAATACACATAACACGCATATTAATCCACCTATGATGCAAATTAAGCGACTGCTATGCAAATCCTGCACCTTCGGCACGCTGCTAATTGCAGGAATATGGATGCTTGCGCTCTTGGCCTACATGCACCATCTGCGTAACTCCATACCGGCGGCAGGCTGGCGTTTTAATAGTGGTGCGAATGCCACACCCCGAGCCGAACTGAGCTACCAGGCCCAGGTCACAGTAGGATGCTCGCCCGCATCTCCGCTGAACGCCACACAGAGCAGTGGCACAGTCGATCCCTTCGAGCTATTGGGTGTGGTGCGCAACAAGCAGGATAAGTACATACGTGATATTGGCTACAAACACCATGCCTTCAATGCGCTCGTCTCCAACAATATTGGACTCTTTCGGGATATACCCGATACGCGGCACAAGGTGTGCGAGCGTGGTGAGACGCTGGAATCGGAACAGCTGCCTCAGGCTTCGATTATCATGTGCTTCTACAACGAACACAAGATGACGCTGATGCGTTCCATTAAGACCGTGCTGGAGCGTACGCCCGCTCATCTGTTGAAAGAGATCGTTTTGGTGGACGACAACAGCGATTTGCCCGAGCTGGAATTCCATTTGCTGGCGGATCTGCATGCTCGCCTCAAGTATGACAACTTGCGTTATGTGCGAAACGAGCAACGAGAGGGTTTGATACGATCCCGAGTCATTGGAGCACGCGATGCCAGCGGCGATGTGTTGGTTTTCCTTGACTCACACATCGAAGTGAATCGCCAGTGGCTGGAACCGCTGCTGCGTCTGGTTAAAGCAGAGAACTCAACGCTGGCAGTGCCCGTCATCGATCTGATCAATGCGGACACGTTTGAGTATACACCCAGTCCGTTGGTGCGCGGCGGCTTCAATTGGGGTCTGCACTTCCGCTGGGAGAATCTGCCAGAGGGCACACTGAAGGTGCCGGAGGATTTCAAGGGACCCTTCCGCTCGCCCACCATGGCCGGTGGCCTGTTTGCCGTGAATCGTTTGTACTTTCAACACATTGGGGAATACGACATGGCCATGGATATCTGGGGTGGCGAGAACATAGAGATCTCGTTCAGAGTGTGGCAATGTGGCGGTTCCATCAAGATTGTGCCCTGCTCTCGGGTCGGTCACATCTTTCGCAAGCGTCGGCCCTATACGGCTCCCGATGGTGCGAATACCATGTTGAAGAATTCACTGCGTCTGGCTCACGTCTGGATGGATAAATACAAGGAGTTCTACCTGAAACACGAGAAGGTGCCGAAGGACTACGATTATGGAGACATTAGTGCGCGGCTACAGCTACGCGAGCGTCTGCACTGCAAGGACTTTGGCTGGTACCTCAAGCATGTGTACCCCGAGCTGCGTTTGCCCGGCGAGGAGTCCAAGAAGTCCGGCTCGGCGCCCGTCTTTCAACCGTGGCATTCGCGCAAGCGCAACTACTTGGACTCCTTTCAGCTGCGGCTGGCAGGCACCCAGCTCTGCGCCGCTGTGGTGGGGCCCAAAGTGAAGGGTTTCTGGAAGAAGGGCAGCTCCTTGACGCTGCAGCTCTGCAAGCCAGGGGCGCCCAATCAAATATGGTATGAGACAGAGAAGTCGGAAATTATATTGGATAAGCTGTTCTGCTTGGAGGCGGCAGCCGATACGCTGGTCGTGATCAACAAGTGCCACGAGATGCTAGGCGATCAGCAGTGGCGGCACACCAGGAACGCCAACAGCCCCGTCTACAACATGGCTAAGGGCACCTGTTTGCGTGCCTCCGCCGCGGAGGAGGGTGCTCGCATTAGCTTGGATCTGTGCTCCAAGGCGGATGGCGTTGGCGGCGCCTGGGACATTGTGCTGTTGAAGCAGGAGCAACAGCAGCAGCCAAAGCTTGATAAGCAGTTGTGAACCTTACAGGTGGTAAAAAAAATGCAATAATTAGACTGAATTTGTCTCTATATAGATTTTCTATTGATAAGCTCCCTGATAACGGTTTATTAAGTTTCGAATTTCCAGTATTTTGTTTGGTTTGCAACAATCAATGAAAAGAGTTTGGCATAGTTGAAAACAAATTAAGTATTTAAATGTTAATGTCTCCAATATATATATACATATTTATGTAGATATCATTTAGTTGTATCATGGTTATAGTATGAGAGCAATTAAAGTAGTATTATTGATATTCAGTATAAATAAAGCTTTCGTAATTTATATAAAAAAAAAATTGTTTTGATTTGCAAAGAAAATATAAAATAATGGCAACGCTATGACAAAACGGTTTATTAACAAGCCCAAGCCATTCTGCTATTAAGAATTAAAGATGCATTAAAACATTCTTGAATGCATTCAAATGAAATATCCCGTATAATCTCACAATTCCAATAGGTCGTTCAGCAATCACAGCTGGCACGTGTCATTCCACTATTTTGCGAATTTCAGCTCACAGCTGTCTTTTGCCCACTATCGTTTACCAACACTAGTGCAGTCGCGCGTCGTTCTTCTAAAGTGGCGCGTAAATTGTTAAATTGTTTAAAACAAAGTGCTTAAAATATTGCAAAACCATTAAATGGAAGGCAAATCAATAGTTAGCAGACAGGAGCCGGTGCTGCGCTTAGGTAAGCCATAAGAAACAACATAATTCAGTGATTAATCATAACGCAAACCCTCCGCCAAACAGATACAAATGCGCGTCGCAATTTTATAAAATTCCACAACAAACTCGGCGAGGTAAGTGAGAAGTGTTTGGCTCTGATTTAATTGCCCTAATTAACATATTTGAACGTTCACTGCAATAGAAACCGAGCACAACGGTGCGATTTTATGATCAAACCGATTGCTATACGGTGCACGGCAGCGATGACTGCGAACAGGTGGCGAAAATTGTTTACAAGTCAACGGCGTATGTGCACAAGCTGCTGCCGGACGACAAACAGGAGACACTGCAGTTCGTTGCCATGTCCAAGCCCAACTTTGAGCTGGCCGTGCGTGAGCTGCTGCTCGTGCGCAATTTGCGTGTCGAGGTTTATGTGAAGCGCGACGAATGGCAGCTGGAATATCGCGGTTCGCCGGGCAATCTGCTGCAGTTCGAGGACATTCTGTTTGCCAATAAGGAGGTGCTCGTGGGCAATAGCATTATTTCGCTGCAGATCAAACTGGAGGGCGGTGCACAACGGCGTGTGGGTGTGGCTGCTGTGGAGCAGAACGATTGTCAATTCCAATTGTTCGAATTTGTGGACGATGATTTCTTTACCGAACTGGAGGCCACTGTCGTGCTGCTGGGCCCCAAGGAATGCCTTCTGCCAACAGCCGATGGTGAATATGCCGCTGTAAAGGCCATGCTGGAGCGTAATGGTGTAATGATCACAGTGCCGAAGCGAGGCAGCGCTGCTGAGCGCAACGATCTACTGCAGGACCTGAATCGTCTGCTGCGCTTTGCCAAGGGCCAGCAGGAGGATGCGAGCGGGCTGAAGGAGCTCCAAATGCAACTAGCGGCCGAAGCACTGCGCGTGGCAATCAAATATTTAGATTTGGTCAACGATGCCGGCAATTTGGGGCACTACGAGCTCAAGCAATTGGATTTGAAGCGGTGTGTGGACTGAAAATTGATAAATAATATTCAAATATAAATTATTTCTCTTGTAGCTTCGTCCATTTGGACTCCGCTGCTGTGGCCGCCCTTAACATTATGCCCAAGCCGGGCACACATCCGTCCATGCCCTCGTATCGCTGGCAGAGCATATTGGGTGTCCTGGATCATTGTCGCACGCCGCAGGGTCATCGTCTAATGGCGCAGTGGGTGAAGCAGCCGCTGCGCAGCGCCGAGATACTCAATGATCGGCACGACATTGTGCAGTGTCTGCTGGAGTCGCCCGAGACGCTAGATACGCTCAGTCTGGACTATTTGAAGCGTATACCAGATATTCTAATGCTCACTAAAAAACTGATGCGCCGCAAGGCGAATTTGCAGGATCTGTTTCGGATTTATCAAGTTATATTGCGCACACCGAAAATCCTTCAAGTGCTGCTTAGCCTTGGGCACAGCACAGTACAGAGTGTGCTCTGTGCGCCCTTTAAGGGTTTTCTGGAAGATCTGACGGGCCTCAAGCAAATGGTCGAGCAGGTGGTCGACTTTGAGGCCATTGAGAAGGGCGAGTATTTGGTCAAGAGCACCTTCGATGGTCGCCTCATGGATCTACAGCAGACCATGACGGAGTTGTATAACAAAATGGAACGCATTCGGGACAAATGCAGCGAGGAACTTGATCTGGATGGCAAGCTGATCAAGCTGGAAAACGTGGCCAAGTTGGGCTATCATTTGCGCACCACAATCAAAGATGATTCGGTGCTGCGCAAGAACAAGAACTTTCGCATTGTGGACGTGATCAAGGGCGGTGTACGATTCACCTCCGACAAGCTGGAAGGCTATGCCGATGAGTTCACCAGCTTGCGTGCGCGCTACGAGGAGCAACAGCAGTCAATTGTCGAGGAGATTATCCAAGTGGCTGTGGGCTATGCCGCCCCATTAACTTCCTTGAACAATGAGCTCGCCCAGCTGGATTGTTTGGTCAGTTTTGCCGTAGCTGCACGAAGCGCTCCAACGCCTTACGTTCGCCCAAAGATGCTGCCCGAGGGCGCCGGCCAGCTGCTGCTGGAGGATGTGCGTCATCCATGTTTGGAGCTGCAAGAGCATGTTAGCTTTATAGCCAACAGTGTGGAGTTTGAGAAGGGTGGGTCGTCTGCGTGGATTATTTTTTGAATGTCCATAACTAATATTTCTTTTCTGCCCCAGACAAATGCAACATGTTCATCATAACCGGTCCAAATATGGGCGGCAAGAGCACCTATATACGCTCTGTCGGCACAGCTGTTCTAATGGCCCACGTTGGCGCCTTTGTGCCCTGCAGTCTGGCTAAGATCAGCATGGTTGACTCCATACTGGGACGCGTTGGCGCCAGTGATAATATCATTAAGGGCCTCAGCACGTTTATGGTGGAAATGATTGAAACTTCGGGCATTATCAGGGTAAGTCATGGAATTTTACTATTATATATCTTTGCCCGATTGACTCGAAATGCATAAACTCCTGCGTTGCCAAATATCTGCTGCGTTCCTTTAGTATGCGATGCAGAGACTGATTCCATAAATATCCCCTGTCTGAGCAATTCGCTCTCACTCTAAGCAGAAGCCTGCGGTTCTATTCGTTTTTGTTATTGTTAGTTATTGTATTGGCTTTCTTTCAATTAAGAGGAGAAAAGGGAGTAGTAGAAGTTAGCGCTCAGTCAATTCACGTACACTATCCGTATGTATAGCGCAGACAATCCTGACATATATACCAATATATACTCAACCAAACGGTCGGGAAACAACCAGAGCGTCCACCAATCCCGAACGAGCAATCGGATGCTCTCTGAGACATTTCTCAGAGTGTCAGTAAGACGACGTTCGAGTCATCAAAAACTGGTGAACAGCTATTTCCGAGCTATGGGCAACTTGCTTCCCTTCCCGCTCCAAGATCAGCAGGAGTCATGGCTCTTCTCACTCTGCACTGTTTAGATGTTCTTTCGATATACTCAAATAAAAAATTTCAACTCCGAGAACTCTACTCACTGATTGGCATGACTTGTCTTAGGCGTATTAAACCTTCAACACGACTTTAAATCAACAAATTAAAACCCTACCATGACACTTGGCCATTTCTGCTGGAGATTCAAGGAATTAGAACGGACGCTGCTAAGTTTATCGAGCACACAAGGGCAAAGACAACTTTATTTATACATCAGCAATATTTACATCGAATCTTCTTAAAATGCAGACCGCAACGGACAAATCGCTGGTGATCATCGACGAGCTGGGGCGTGGCACATCCACGTACGAGGGCTGCGGCATAGCTTGGTCCATAGCCGAGCATCTGGCCAAGGAAACGAAGTGCTTCACGCTCTTCGCCACGCACTTTCACGAGATAACCAAGCTGGCGGAAACGTTGCCCACGGTGAAGAACTGTCACATGGCGGCCGTGGCCGATGAGGATAATTTTACGCTGCTCTATCAGGTGCGACCTGGCGTCATGGAGAAGAGCTTTGGCATACAGGTGGCACGCCTGGCCAATTTTCCCGAGCAGGTGGTGCAAAATGCCCAAGAGGTGTACAACGAATTCGAGGATGAGCATGCGGGCAAGCAAAACGAGGCGGATAAAGCGCTGCTGGACAAGATACAAGTGGCCATCGAGCAGCTATCGACGGCTGGCAACAACACGGAGATCAATGTGGAGGATCTGACCCAGCTGGTGGCACAATTCGCCAAGGATATTAAACAGCTGGACAGTGATTATTTCAAGACCGTATTAACTAGCAGCAGCGAAACTTAGTTACAGGCCCAAGAAGCAAGCCATTAGCTGTAAAAAAGAGATTTTAGTTCTATATAGTATTATATATTATATACACACACAAGAGCCTTCCATCCATCAAGAGTCTTACATTTATTATTTAAACATTTATTGGTCTTTTGTTTCTTATTAGCTGTAAAATTGTTTTCATTTTCCTTACATTTTGTGAATAAGATTTTTGTCTCAGTTTTAAACCGTTTCTGTTTTAAACACCAAAATGTTTGCTGCACTAATGCATTGCGCTAATGAAATCATAAATTATTTTCATTAATTTACTATTTTTTTAAATATTATCTTTAGCGTTTTTTTTTTTTTTTGTTTAGTTAAGTGGACTTTTTTCGGTATTATATATATATCTATATATCTATATAGTTGTAATATTTAAACATGGCTGAATTTTGAATTTCAATTCCATGTGAATTACCATTTTTTTTATTTTTTATTATTATTATTATTACATCTTACAACGTTTAAACACTCCAAAAAATAAATATTGTATTAGTTCGCGTAAACAGTTTAAGTTTTAGTGTTTTTTATTTTATACATATATATTTAATTGTTTTAATATTATTTTTAGTTGTAAATTACATTTAATAGTTAACTGTTTGTGTTTTAAAAAATTTCCATCTTCATTTTGATTTCAATAATGTTGTCTCAAATTCGATAAGAAACAGAATTTAAAAAACATTTTTCACCCACGCGCATCCACTTTTTCGTACTTTCGTACGCTGCTCTCTCTCTCTACCATCAAAATTTTTACTTTCCTATGCATAAATTCATCAAATGTTTCAAATACGATACAAAGGCAATTAGGTTGGTATTTTAGTTGTTCTTGTGTTTTTTGTTTGGTATTTTTTTGTTTGTAGTTCTTGCTCGTGTAAATGTTAAATTTTGCTTAGCTAACAAAAATCGGTATAGTTAGTGTGCAAAGTTAACTGAGGTTCTTGAAATAAGTATTGCATACTTTTCAGGTGGTCCTATATAAGAGAAATTCCCCTGCAGTAAGACTAGGGTTCTATATCGAGACGAATTCTATATAAATCATAAATTTTTAGCTAACTTTCCTTCCTGATGGGTTTAGATATACTTAATCGGATCACTTTGTCTATAGTTCTGTATATATGTATATCTATGTATATAACTCTATATATAATCCAACTTAGTTCCAACTGCAAGGGTATTTAGATCTTCGACTAGACCGAAGCTAACATTAGATTTTAGTGCATATTATTTCATTATTCAAAAAAGAGAAAACCAAATACGATAAAATCGTAACAAATACTTGGTACATTATTACAATACATATACAAAAAACATATATAAACTTTGAATAGCCGTTAACAAAATATCTATATAAACATTGAATACACCACGCATCATATATACTAGTATACAATATATTATCATATAATATTGATCATTAAAAAATCCGTTTGATTGTTTACGAAAAAGCTAATGAATTTTGCAAAAGACTATATACATATATATAAGTGTATATATATATATTTTTCGGTTGGGCCAAGGGACGAAATAGTGTATTTTGTGTATCTGTTCGTGTTTCATTTAAGTTTACATTTCATCGCGCTTTTATAAAAAATCAACTAATTTTATAAAATTACAAAAATAATTGTCATTTGAATTATTTTTGTTTACATTCACACTTTTCTCTTTCATAGTTTTAGTTAATATTTGGCATTAGGTATTTACCATTTGCTTAAACTATCCAAAATAGTTAATGAAACGTGGGCTTTTTTTTTGCTAGTATAAAACATAAATATCATTCTAAAGTTTTTTTTTTCGTAAAGAATTGAAATTAAGAAATATTATTTAGGAGCTGCTAGAAACACATATCTCTCCTTTTCGTACTCTCGTTTTCCTTAACATTTGGCGTATATTTTAAGTCTAAAAGTTGAAATTGTTTTTGTTTCGGCTGTTGCTAAACTTGTTTAAGATTGTGCTTTGGTTTTTTTTCTTTGGTTGTTAAACTTCGACTAGAATTGTACTACACAATAGTTTACAATCTAAAAACAAACAGATCGCATTAGTGTATATATATAGATTGTATAAACTAAACCCGCATAAAGCAGCGCGTCAAGTAAAACATCAAAATTATGGTCAGCGGCAGCAGCTGAAGCGTCAGACCCAGCCGCGAGGCTTTGCCGCAGTAGGTGAAAAGTTCCTCCTGAAAAAAAAAAAAGAAAAAATGTTATAAAATTATCGATATTTAATGGGTTTTATCTTCCACTCACATCCTCGTGCTCCGTGAAACACTCCTCGATGCGTCGCCTATCGTAGAAACTCATATTTAGTTTGTAGCAGGGAAATTCCTCCTCATACTCAGTTATACGCTGCGGCTCGGTGGTTAGGCGTATACTGCGCGATGGCATCAGCACATTGACCACCACCATCACCAGATTCGAGTTGGGTATTTTCTTGATATGGAACGGACGCGTTGATGACACATTTATAGAATCATTGATGCCCACCAATGCCGAGGGCTGCAGGGCGTACAGGGTAGAGCGCATGTCACACGGCTTGTAGATCGGTTCCGGTTCGGGCTCTTGAAATATCGCCTCACCATCGTCACCATCGTCCTTGGGCTTAGCCGCCGATGCCGAATTAATGTCGCCCACGGCCACATACTCATCCTCAATAGTGTCCAAGTACTCCAAAACTAATCGACAATGGCAGTCATATGTTAATTGAAATTTTCCTTGATTTTAATTGTGTTAACTTACACGGCGCTCCGTCCACCCACCATTGAACTCTCTGGTAGGTCAAGAAGAGATGCGCTATAAGCCACTTCCAGACTAGGCCCAGTAGTTGCAGTGGCTGTAATGAGTGACATAAATAGGAATATTGCAATTTCTACATAGTCCGATAGTAACTTGGAAAATCAAGTTTGAATTAGCTAGTCTAATCCAACAGCCAGCGCAGTCCGACAGCCAACCAAGTTCGAATTTCAGTCTAATCTATCTGACTTCCATTTTAATCCAAACCCAATCTAGTCCAACATCCAATTCGAACTGAGGAGCCAATGTACTCCGAGAGCCATTCGAGTCCGACAGCCAGCCTAGTCCTAGTCCAACAGCCAACTAAATTTTAATGTCTGGTCTAGTCCACTAGCCAAAAGCCAACTGAATCATAATGTTTGGTCTAGTTCGACATCCAACCAAAAGCCAATGCAGTCCGACAGCCAACGTAGCACGACAGCTAATCTAGTCCGACAGCCAACCTAGTCTTAATGTCAGTTCTGGTCTAAATGCCAGTCTGCTTCGATAGCCAACTCAGCCCGACAGACCCAATTTATTGCTAGTTAAGCCGGGTTTTCAGCAAAGTTTCATCATCTTCTAACCCCTTAAAACTCACATGCAGCAAACTGTTTCCATCGCTGAGTGTGGTTGGCTCTACTTTACATAGCTCCTGGTAGTCATAGACCTCGATGCTTTTGAAGATGCCCTTCTGAACCATGGCGGCCATGACATCGCCATGGATTTCGCCAAAGAATTTCCCGGTCGTATTTATGTTTTGGCCGACGACAATGTACGCATTGTTATCGATGACAACGCAATCGACGTCATCATCCGTGCAGATGGGCAGGCAATTGTTGCACTGTTGATGGGTGTATAAATAGAATATTAAAAACAAATTTATTGGATTAGGTTTCGCCTGCACTCACATTGTCCACGGCTGTTATGTTAAAGAAGCGTTCCCACATGCGCGCATGCGAGAACTGGAAACCGACGACACAGGCGGGCGCCTCTTTGCCGCCATCTCGGGGAAAGATGGCATGCGAGGCGGTCACCTTGAGATCGCTGTCTTCGAGCGGATCGTTGTAGTGTTTGACCGAGTAAACAAAGCTTTCGGTATTATCCTGATGATGCTGCAGTATGGCGCTCTTGTACCAGGTCTCATCGATGGCTGTTGTATGATAATCGCCAAATTCCCGATCCGTATCCACTTCCACCTCGCCAAAGATGAACTGCCAGCGTGTCAGCCCGCTCATGGTGGCCACAAACCTCAATGTGGCACCAAAGCGTTCAATGAGCTGACGCTCCTGTTCGTTCTCGAACTTCCATACGCCGTAACTGAAATTGGTCACCTTGGCATCGAAAATGAGCAAATGGACTAGCTCCTTGTTGCAGTAGTAGGCATCGTCGCTGAGCGTTTTGCGACCACAGTTTACTGAAATTGTAGAGGGATTAAAAGCGATTCTAGATTGACTTCTTAAAATACTTACAGTCGTCCTTGTCATCCCAATCGGATTCGTCCTCGGCATATTGTTCGGGCCATTTCCAATCGGGTTTCATCATCTTTTCCAAAAACTCGCGCAGCTCCGCTTCAGGTGTTTTGAATTCGTGACCCTCCAGATAGTGATACTTGCAATAGACCCTGCAAAGGTTATACTTTTAGATCTACCAAAGTAAGACTTTGAATTATTTTGCCACTTACCAATCCGGATGCACTTTCCAGTTTTCGCCAATGAAGAAATCGGATATGTTGACCTTCATGTGCTTGTTCTTGTCCACCTCGTCGCCCACCTTGATCCAAGTCTTGCCATAGTCACTTGGCATAACAATGCCCAAAGTGAAAGGTGTATTGGGTAATGGAGCAAAGAAATAATCCTGTTTCTCCTCCGACACACGACGCATTTTGTCATAATGGAACTTGACCGGAATATTTTTAAATTCCTTGGCTTCGTTATGGACCATGGAGCTGCGTATGTTTAGAATGGATTCACCCGGCTCTCGGGGATTCTGATCCTCAAACAAATGCTCCACTTCGGTAAAGTCAATGCTATTATAGTTGGGATTCATTTTGTTGTTGGACTGCAAATAGATATATAAATTTGTTAATAAATGAAGATTTTGGTTTGGATGGGGGCAGCTTACACCAAGAGGCCGCAGATCCGGATGCAGTAGTACGTAGCCATTGTTGGACACCACAAATGAATAGCCATTAACGCCCAGCTGGAGTTAATGAATAGTTATTTCAATATGATTCAGCAAATAACTTCCTGTGACACCTACCTTGTAGGGCAACGTCAATTTGTCTATGTCCTCGACGGGCACATCTGTGCCGGCTACACCCAGGAGACGTGCCCGTCTTTTAGTGCTGTTCTCGTGCCGATAGGAGCGATCAAAGGCTGGCACACCAACGGCTATCATAAGACGCGGTCGTCGCTCATTCGAATTCAAAGGATCATACTGCAAAGAGGGAATTCTTTGTCAAGCCGGGTTCTCTTCTTACTCAATAATGCTTACCGTTTTATCCGTAAATGCATGCGTCCAGGTGGGCGGATGCTGCTCATTCTGCAGCACGAGAGGCGTAGCTATGACATCGACATATTTGAGCACTTCCTCGTGGACTTCATCCAGTGTTTGCACATGCGAATAGTAGCCACGATTCAAGCAGGCCATCCATTGAATCTCGCGCACCTTGGTCACCTCCTTGCCCAGTAGATAGGTAAAGATGCGCACATTCATGCGTGAGGTGCCGTTCTCTCCGTTGCCCCAGTTGTACTTCTCGAAAATATCGGTCGTATTGCCCGCCACGCCATCGGTGACCAGCATTATGGCCTGGTTGCAGGTGGAGGTCTCGTTGCACCTTCGATTGATATAATAGTTGCGTAGTATTTGAAAGGCGTGCTCGTAGGCCAGCGTTAGATTCGCATAGCCCTCGGGATCGTCCAGTTCGGCTATGGCCGTATTGAAGACATCGATATTTTCGGGTGTCGCCTGTACCAGAGCGTCCTTGAAACAGGGTATAATGCCCTGTACATCGTTCGAATAGCGGAAAATGGTGAAGAAATCGTTATTGGAGAACGTATCCAATATGCTGCGTATTGTGAACTTGGCCACATGATGGCGATGTCCTGTCATTGAGCCCGAATGGTCCAGCAAGATGACAATATCCTTGGAACAGGTGGCCGTCTCTATGTACCACGACCGTTTGCGGCAATCATACGTATCGGCGTCCAGTTTATTCGCACGCGAATCGTACCACTGTGCGGCGGGATAATGACGCAATATGCCCGTATCGGAGCCAAAATATTGCCAAGACAGAGCCGGATCGGACTGATAGTTCTGGCGGAAGACCTCGTCTAGATACTCAGACCACTGAATCGTCTTTAGCACATTCGGCGCACGATCCCAAACATTTGAGGGCACATGCACCGAACTGTGCTCCGTGTCCACGGAAATATTGTAGAAATGTGTGTCCGGATTTAGCATCATCTCGCGATACATATACTCATACTCCTTAACATTGGACTCCAGCTCCTCGGAGCTATTGCCATTGAATGGCGAGTACTTGCTCGAGTAGTAGGTGAAGTTAGTCTCCGCATAGGTCAGATTGAATTCGAAGTTCTCATTGACACTCTCGGCCTTCTCCTGTATGCAGCGCACGGCATCCATTTTGCGCGCCAACATTTTGCCCACATTCGCTGTTATCGATTTAATTAGTTCGCTGCCATTTTTGAGCTCAACTCGAGCATTGTATTCCTTGTATTTCTCTTTAATCTGCTGCGATTTGGTTATCTTCTGGGCCAGCAGGAATAGCTCGTCTCCAAACTGGGTCGCCCATTTGCCAACGCTGCAAAACACAAAAGAAAAAATGCGGAACGCATTAGAAAACTAAATGAAATTTCTTTGTGTATTGATAATATTTAAGAAATAATATACGAACTGAAGAACGAAAGCTGCTCTACCATAATGTGGGAGCTTATATAGGTGAAAATGGGTTGGAAATTAAAGAAAAATAAATTATTTATTCTTAATTCTTGACTGGGATCTTTCTGGCAAATATTATTTCATAAACTTTTTCCACTAAGCCTTAGGCTTATATTACAGGAAAATCCTACAATAAAAACTCTAGCTAATTTATTAATTTTTTTATATTATTCAGTTCTCGTTTATTTTTTGTATATTATATTATCTATTTCTTTATTTATATATATAAATATAAATATATATACTATGTATGTAAATAAATTCCTCCCGCTTTCTTTAAAATTGCAACAGTCTGGCAACGCCAACAGGCAATCGTCACACAAATGGACCGAAAAGAAATGTCAACCACCTGTCGACGTACAAGTACAACAAGGCCACTAATTTAATTAGCTCACATGTCAGACACGAGTGTGTTGGTAACGAGCACGGCTAAAAAGGTGTTCATACGGCTGCGTGTGTATTGGTGTGGGTGTGTGTGTGTCGGTGTGTTAAGGAAAGTAGCCCAAGCAAAGCCAGCCTAAGCAGCAGCGCAGTCAACGCGGCGACGGTGTCAGCGAACAGAAACAGCTGTGCTTGGCATTTGCTTATGTGTGTGTGTGAGTGAGAGAGAGAGGGTGCGTGCGTGTGCGTGTGTGTGTGAAATCAACAAGTGCCCAGCCAATGCGCGCGCATACTTTCGCTAAAAGCTCTTAATTTTAAAAAGCTCTTAAATGGAATATGCTCTTAAATAAATGTGAGCGCTATAAAAGCAATTATATTAGTTGAACGCAGCAATTAAGACTACCATAATCACTATATAATATATATAGAAGATTCTTCAAGTATTTTTAAATATTAACAGTTGCAAAATTTATTTTGTAAAAATGATTCATTAAAATAACACAATTGTTAGAAATACCATTAAAACAAATGTTTATAGCAGATATATTAAGGTACATCTTATACAAAGATCATACAAAAGATCATTTATGCTTAAAATATTTAAGAGTTTGAACAATATCACACACTATACAACTAAAGTAAAAAGTTTGATTGATGAGAATCACATAGAAAGACAATACTTTTAAGCGTGTGAGTAAAATAGAAAAGGATTTGGGAGAGTAAGAGGAAAAGGAAAATAAAATATATTCATGGAAAGATAAAATGAAACATTTAAGGAGGAGAAATTTAAAGAGAGGGATCGCAGGCTGATCTAGTAACCGACATGAAAAATGTGAGTAAAATAAAGTTAAATACGACAGACAATAATATGCATGAGAGAATTTGAAAGAGAAATGAGGGATCGAGCAAGAGAGGGTTAAAGATATTATATGAGTAGAAATAGGAGAAACATAACTAAATGGCTTTTACAACTTGAATTGAGACATGAGCAGAAAGTGCGTTAGCAAAAAATAAATACAAGAGACGAGAATGGTAGAGAAGTGATAAATACATATGAGATAATATTGATATTGGTAACAATAAACAGCGATGAAAAATAGGCAGAGATAACATTTTAAGTAGCGCCAAGTGAAATTGATGTAAAATGTATCGGAATAGTCAAATCCCTTTTTTTTAGTATCAAAGCAGAGTTAGGGTAGGGCAAGCCCGAAATTACGATCAAAATAGACACTAAGAGAAAACGTATTCAATAACACAGCAACCTTACACCATCAACCACTTGCTCCGTCTTAACTATTAAGATTTACTAAGCAAAATCTGCTGTGCTACTTGAGTTACTTAAGTATTGATTCTGAGAATCGCTTAGAAAGGCGCTCTGCACTACTTATTGGTGTATTTCTGTAAAGGCAAGACAACTGTCTGAGTTGCGAAAGTAATTTGTTTCAATCATTCTCATGCGCATAGCCCAGGCCAAAACCTCTTCGTCTCTATCTCTACTGAAACTTGAGAGCTTTCAATTCTATCCCTTCTCTATGCTTGCCTCACTACTGTCTCTCGTCTTTCGTCTTTCTCTTTCTATGCTGTGGTGGGTGCCACCCATTGGCGCCTTTGCCGCTTTGCCTTTGACATAGTTCAAGTGCCGCCGAACGCTCCCAGCTCAAGTTTAATTGTTGTTGTTTGCTTATTGTTGTAGCTGTATTGTTGCCATTGTTGTTCCTGTTGTTGTGTTTCTTTTTGGAGTTGTTCAATTAAATTTGCAACATTCCTTTGTGGCCAGCTGAGCTCACACATAGTTTTATTTTCTTTTCTTTTTTTTATTTTGTTTATGCTGAATAAACTCAGTCCTTATCTGCACTGAATCGGACGACTCTTGTCTGGCTCGTGGGCGTTGTGGGCGTAAATTCTCGCTAGTTGGGCTAGCCAATTTTTCGCCTTTGTATTTCGCTTGAATTTTACACATAAATATATGTATATCTGTATATATTTATTTGTATATATTTTGTTTGTTTCATTTTTATGTCTTTTTTTCTGGGTTTTTTTCTTTGCAAATTTACATTGATTTTTTTTATGGTCATTGTCTATTAATGTGTGCGCAATGCTTCAGTGCGAAAAAAAGAAGCAGCGCATAAAATATTGCATTCGATATTCCACGAACACATAAATTATATAGTATTTTGCCACTTAGCCACATTAAAGCCACATTTTGTGCATTTGCCGGCAATAAATTTTGTTAGAACTTGAAATTTGTTTGGCCTGGGATTGATTGAGAGACAAGTCGAGAAATAGATTTATGTGGCTTCTTTTCGTGCGGATTTCTTTATTTTGATAAATAGATTCAAGCGTGGGAAAACGTGGATATAACAATGAATGGAAAGTGAAAATAAGGCTAGATAGGGAATTTCTTACATGGCTGATGAGAATCTACTTGGGAGAGGGACAAACAAGCAAGTAGTAAAATATATAGTTTAAATATAGAAGTTTACATGATACAAAACAAAAACTAAATATATAAAATAAATAATAATAAACAGCTCATATTATGTGAATAGCCGAATGCGTTTCTGAAATAAGATAAGATAAGCGAGCTTCCTAGATCTATTACATTTTGTTTCGTTAAGAGAAATGGAATAAAGAAGAAAAGTATTTAAAAGTAAGCGGCCTCCGTTTCTAAATACACAGAAATCGACGATAAATATATAAAATGAAACGTACAATTTCTAAATATAATTTAAAAAAGTAAAATTTGAGAATAAAATTTAAATTATATTCTTGGTCATTTTAAAGTATTTTGACAAAGTAAAATTTAGCTGAAACTAAAAAATGTGGATATTTATCTATAAAAAATGTAATTAGCAGACGAAATACTCCATAAAATTCAAAAGATCGCTTTGTTTGCTCAGCTACTGTGTAGCCAAATTCAAATCGTTAATAATTAAAATAGAATGTCCATTCAATAGGCATGACAAAAAGCTGCTTAGTTCGGATATGGCAGCGTATATACCATATATATTTTATATGTATTAATTTCCTTCTTTTTGTAACCAAAATTTCCGTTTAATTTTTAAATATTAAAAAGAACTGTCAAGCTCTAAATTATGATGCCCAACTTGAGCTGATTAAATTAAAAATTAAAAAAAAATATATATATATATAAACAAACATATAAACGAATTCTGTATATACATATATACCTTTTCGCTTTGTATTCGCCACGATGATATCATAGAGCATTTGGCAAGCCCCAAAAATGTTCATTTTAGTAATCTGGCTAAATGCATAAATTGCTAAGTAATTAGAACGTATATTGTTTTTTTTCCTCCCTGAACTTTTTGGAATATATCGAATTAGCTAAGGCAACTCTGTGGTCAGTGCATGTCAAACTGTAATATTTAAACAATGTTAATTCTATTGACTATTTGATTTAATTACATTTACCCACTACTAATTGTATTTGCTTGTCCATTTAGAACAAGTGACACGCCTTCGCTGTTGGCCTTTGCCTTCGCCTTTTGATGGCATCAAATTAATAGAACGCCGACTCTTTTTTGGCAGGCAGCAGCAAGTTAGACGAAATGCCCTCCCTAATAAAATATGCATAACGCGTATAAAGATGTTTGAGGTACCTGCCCGCTGCTGCGGCGTCCTCCCCAGAGTCAGCATGTCAGACAAATAATTCTTTTATGTGACTTATGAAAAGTGCGTAAGATAAAAAACAAAATAAAATGAAAGCTGGGGCAATAAGTAGCTAAAAGGTCGACGGCAGCTGCCGAAATTGTGGGCAAATACGTTGACGCACACTCAAACACATACAAGAACACGCACACACACACACACGCACATACACATACACATACACATAAGCGCACAACCATGCGAGCGCTAAAATGAAAATTGGAAACAAAAGACAAAAGCGCCTAAAGCACGCAATGGGCTAAAAAGCAGAAAAAACGGGGGAACCAAAATATTACAATGAGTTCTAGGCGACCTATTAAGGCGCTACGAGGGACATTAAAATGAGGAATAAAATAATAACATGAGGTATATATTAAAATTGTATGTATATATATATAGGGGATTAACACGAGGTTAAAGTCAGTTACTATATTAACATGGCAATGAGCTATAATAAGTGAACTTATTTTGCAATGTCGTCTGTCCTAAAAATACTGCATATTAAGGCTAGACTTAGCCAAGTTTGTTGTGAATATGAAAATGTTATTTGGTATATATTTAAATATCATTTTTAACTTTTTTTGATGTGCTTTAATGTTTATATACAGTGCTTACGTTAGTGTAGATGCCAATAGAATATATATTTTAAATATATATATGTATATATATATATATATAAATATACATATTTGCATATATTATTTATTATCTACTATCAAGCTACTTTGATAAAGTTAAACAATTTTAAGCTTAAATAACTGACTTAAAAATTATATGACTATTAGGTTGAATTATTATGCAATTGCGTTAACTACAGTATTTGAATTAAGCTAATGACGATATGATATAGAACTTTAAGTTAAGTTAGTTATGTTAGTAAAAGAATTCAGATAATTAATAAAAGTTTAATTTATAGTATAGTAGTTTATTTACATATGCTATATAAAGGCCTTTAGATACAGAGATTTCTATTCTTATTCACACTAAAATCTGGAAACTTTGACAACGAAAAATTGTAGATCTCTTAAGCTAAAAAATGAATTAAATAGTAATAATAATTATCAAATAATAAGTGAAATTTTATGCAATTTTGTATAGTGAAGAAATAGAATTCAACTTATTGCAAAATAATTTTTACTGGATGTCGTACATGGGTTAGTTTAGAATGGAATGCTAGTATTGATTAAGAAATCGTATCATATTATATTGCAAATATTTGATCAATTTAATATTAAAATATGGGAAATAGCTAAACATTGTCTGTAGACGTTATTTGAAGTACAAGTTGAAACAAAGTTTTGGTTGAAATGAAAGTTTGTGCTCATGAAAATCAAATTTATAAGCCGCAACAGTTTTTTAACGGGCAAAGTTTAAGAATGCAAAGAAGCTATGTTGACTGTATGTCATATAAGGTATATGACGTTATATATATGATAAACATTATTTACTATTATTTTATAGGGATAGAAATGATAGGAATTATATTATATTATAGGAATAGAAATTATTGTAGCCATACTCAAGTCAGCTTGAATGTCATATTCGTAAAAGCTGAAGGGCCATGGACTATTCTCATTTGATTTATTTTAAATAAGATTAAAAATTTGTTTATGGATTCTAGGCAATGATTGAAGCATGCGAGTGTAAGATTAAATATATTTGGTATAAGTTTAGACTGCAAGATTTCTATAATATGTCATAATAATGTAAGCTGCTCATGTCCTTCAGAGACTACCCAAATCTGTTAAGTGCAAGTCTCTTACAAGATTTCTTTTAAATATCTACGAATGTCTTCAACGTTCACATATTTCTCTAGCAATTGCGATGCCTCAACTCCAAGTAAAGCTTCCATTTAAGCTTTATTTATTAACTCAAGTACTCTGGCAGGCAATTTCATTTTATTTTCCACTGGAAGGGAAACTCAACAAATTGTTTTTATTTTTTGAAGTGTTTCGCATATTTCTTTGTTAAGCGCTAAAGTAAATATGCGCTTCTCTAGAAACGACGCCAAAATTCCATTTTTCTGTGACTCAGTGATGAGGGAGAGCGCATATAAAAATCCACTTCAGCCTCAAACCCAAAATTATATGTCAGGCTGAAAATCATATGCATTAAGCTTCTGCGAGTGTCTCAATATTTGCGATAAGAGCAATAAATTGTCATTAACATAAGGATGTGCGCTGCATACCCTAAGAGGAATTCCTAAAGCCCACATGCCGAACGCTTGACACGCAGCGCATTCCCAATAAGAAACGTGAGGTGGCTGCCAAAAACAAAAACAAAA